GTATCCTTATTAGCATTCAATTTCCATCAATTACACACCATGTTCACCTTGAATCAGTGCCAAATTATTGATGGTAGTGTTGATGGGTCTTATATATGCAGACCCCAAAAATGGATGTCTCAAGTTATTATTCATTCCTCTCAGATAGCTCTAGACTACATACTGTGCTTGCCACAAAGAGGGTTTGAGATCATGGGCTGAGCTGCCTCTAACTTTCTGTGATTGAATAGCTGTTTAGTTACTTTGATTTTTTAGTTGCAGTTTCCATTTGCATACACAGCCTTTTTTGTTCTTAGAAAAGTAGCCCTCCTGCTAATGTCTTTATGCCTTTGGGTGCACTACTCCCGGTTCTTTCTCCTATTATTTTCACTAGAATGCTACGGGATACCTCACTTCTTCTTTAGTGTAGCTTACCTTCATTCCAAAGAGGGAAGAAACGCTATATTAAATTCAAAATAAAAATAAAAATTGATACATAAAAGAATAATTTCTTTCAACAATATACGTTTCAAACATCAAAGACTTACTGCTTACTTTGTTGCCTCTTTTTTTTATATATATATTCTCAATATTGTTCTATATTGACTACAAATAACTACAGTGACCTCAATTTGCAGAGACAAATAACTAAGTGGACTCAACAAAGTACGGTGCCCTAATAAAAGTAAACATGCATATCACCAAGATTATTCGGTGTTAGAGGGTATTTATCCTCCTTCTACATCAAACTAATCTCGAGCCTCTATTTTGGCTCTGCATTGGACTAGCTACCTAGACAATTCACATGGCTTAAATCCTTGCACTCAAATGAATGAGTTCTAGATCTACTCAGAAAAGTACCCTTCAGTGGTATGCTCTGATTAAGTTACACATAGAGCACAATCACTCACCGGCCCCGAGGGCACACTCACCAACCAAGAGGTGTAATCCTTCTCCTATATATATCCCATTTATGATACTCTTATTTTGTGTTTTTGTAAAGAATTAATTCAACGCAAAAAGTTAAGTTAACGGGTGAAGTTACATTATAATAGTTTTATATTTCTTTAACACGTTCCCTCACAAAAGAGCCGATGCTCTAATATCATGTAAAGAACTAATTCAACCTAAACAATTAAACTAATGAGTGATCTTACATTAATAATTTTATATTTTTCTAACACGTTGAATTGCTACTAGGAGGTCTGACTTAAGTATGGTAGTTTATTACATGACTACAAACTCCAAGTATTGAATTCGATGGTTTTATCTATGTCTTTACCAAGAATATTATCTTTGGCGTTCGTTGAATTTCTGAAAGTAAACGATATCAATAAGTGGGAATCAAATGTAAAATTGAGTAAACTTCAATTTTTGCGGATAATAACAAACCCTAAAATATTGATGGATATCATTTTAGTGAAAAATTAATATATTTTCTTCGGAAAAAATATTTGTCCTTTTAAAGGATATAATTTATGTCATTTTAAATTCTAACCGTTGATTTCCATCAATCAACAGTTATACTTTATTGGGTCAAATAGAATGGACTAAACTTATTATTAATTAATTAATAATTTTGACCTAATAAATTATAATCGTTGAATGACGAAAATTAAATCTAAAATGACACAATGTTATACTTTTTAAAAGGAAAAATGCTTTTCCCATTTCTTATTAAGGATAAGTTGTAAAATTTCATCACTTCAATTAGTATTTTAATATAAGAATATTGATGGACATGATTTTCATGAAAAGTATGTTATTTTCATAGCAGGGGCAAGTGAGAGAATTTTTTCACTTAAATTATTATCCTATATTTAGAAAAATATATTAAAATAATTCATTTAAATTTATATTGTAAAATATTTTTTAATTTTAAAATTTATTATCTATAGCTATTTAAAATGTCTAAAATTATACATTTTGTTCAAATTTTGGGCTGCCTCGGTTCAATAAGATCAGGACTATACTAAAAATAGATTAAAAAAATTAATCATATCAAAATATTATTTTCATTAAACTTGATCCATGGGCAAACATCTCTCCCTATATTCAAATTCTTTATTGCATTCTTTAACAAAAAGTTTTTTTGTTAATAGTAAAAGTATTTACGCTTTTGTCGCAGGAAATTTTTCTCTATCACATTCACATAAAAATGAGTGGGTCTCATTATAATTAGAAAAAAGTCAAGAAAAATTTAATGGAATCCAATCAAGCACTCACTTTTATGTGATTGTGACAGATAGGGTGTAAATGGGCCAAGCGGCTTGTCAAGGACCCAAAGCTTGACTTGCTTAATGTTGAGATATATAGTGCCACATTGATTGGATGAGCAACTAATATGGCCTTTATAAGGCCTTGGGCACTCCCACCCCTTGAGCTAGCTTTTGGGGTGGTGTATCCCAAGGTTCTTAACATGGTATCAGAGCCTCACCGTCCCCCACTTTAAAGTGGAATTAAAAATAAAAAATAAAAAGCACAAAAAGGTAAACCAAAAATGGGCCTGTGCAATTTCCACGCTTATAGCCTAAAGGGCTCTTGCGTGAGGGGGCGTGTTGAGATATATAGTGCCACATTGATTGGATGAGCAACTAATATGGCCTTTATAAGGCCTTGGGCACTCCCACCCCTTGAGCTAGCTTTTGGGGTGGTGACCTCAAGGTTCTTTACACTTAATAAATAGAACGGGTTCAAGCTTTAAAAAAAAGCTTATTTAGCAAACAAGCCCAAGCCAAAATTAATGAGGTTTGGCTTGAAAGCATGTGAACTAGCCTGATATATTATTGTAAAAAGTAATATATTTTTATGTCACTTAACCATTAACCCTACTTTTGTAACCCTGTTTTTTTGCTATTGTCTATTGGCATTCTCTCGCGGTAACAGATTCACAAACAAGCTCTTTGACTATTGGTTTCTCCTTTCCTCTCTTGGTCACTCATCTTTTCACGGCTTTACCCCAACCTTCTACTTAGCGCAACTCTAGTAACCAATAACTATCTTTAACTCTACAAGCAATTGACCAATCCCAGGTACTCTTTCTCAATTCTTCTTTTTTCGATATCAGAATTTGATGCACTTAAGTTAAGTCTAACATGTAGTTCATAACAACTAATAGACCAAGCCAAACTCAAAATATTGTTCTTAGGCTTGGATCATTTAAGCTAAAGCTTGGCTCGGCCTAGCTCATTTACATCCCTAGTAGCATAAAAAAGTTTTTTGCAGCAAAGTAGAAATACTTTTTCCAAAATTTAAAAGTATTTTTTTTTCACATGTCACCACATAAATTCTAATTAAGTAATGACCAAAAAAAAAATCCAAGTCATGACCACCACACAAACTATGACCAAACAGTCTAACAAGACTAACTAGCACAACAATATATTTAAGAATAACAATAACAATATATTTAACTAGCACAGCAATATATATATATATATATATATATATATATATATATATATATATATATATATATATATATATAAGGTTTGGACTATATATATGAAAGCAAATAAAAAATAAAAATATTTTTTATAGAATTTAAATAAAGTTTCGACTAGATATAATTATCATTACTCACTCACCACCACAACAAAATTGTTCTTTAGCCACGGCAAAAATCGTGGCAAAATATGATAAAAACCATGGCTAAATGAGTTGTCCACTGTTTCAAAAATCGTGGCTAACGGGCGTTGCATTATTTTAACCACGATATTTTTTGCATTTAAGCACGGTTTGTATGAGTGTGGTAACATTGAGTTAGCCACAGTTTATGTTATATTAGCCACGTTATATTCATGGCTAAACGATTTGGAACCCAATGATAAAAAGTTTTATTTTGCCACAGACAAAACCGTGGTTAAATGATTTGGATCCCAAAGATGAGAAGTTTTATTTTGCTACAGACAAAACCGTGGCTAAATGATTTGGATCCCAAAGATGAGAAGTTTTATTTTGTCAGACAAAACTGTGGTTAATTATAAGGAATTTTATTTTTTAAAAAAAATATTACAAATTTTTCCAATCATATAAAAAACATAATAAAAATTGCATTTGATACAAGAACCAAAAACCAAATTAAGGGAGATAATCAAATAAAATAGAGTACACAATTCATTTTTTTCTATTCATATGAGTAAATCACGTTTTTTACACAAATTCAAAAATTCGTATTTTTTTCCCTTTCATATAAGCTAAAGGAGTTTCCTTTACCAACAAAAGGAGCTAATCAAGTTTTTCACTTACATCATTTAAGAGAAATAATTGTCAAATAAAGCTAAAACTATAAGTTTGTGATTGTCACTAGACATCTATACAAAATATTAACTTCATTGTTCAACTAAATAAAATATGACAACACATTTTTTAAATCTGTCTTCCAAGAATTGTTGTTGTATGCATCCGATGAAATCCACAGTAATGCAAGGACACGATATCTGTCCATTTATTGATGCATTTGAAAAGCCAAAGTCTAAAAATTGGACTACCCCATCTAAGAACTCTTTCGAGTTAATTGGTTTCTCAATCCAACTCTTATCAATCATAGTTAGATAAATCTGTTTTCAAATTCAACAAATAACATGAATTAGCATTCAAACAATAACAATATTCATGTATAGGAAAGTTCACAAAATTTGTGAACATTAAAATTAAAATGAAATAGCAAAAATATTGGATTTTACTTAATAAAATTTGGCTTAGATTTAAAGTTTGGTGGTGTTTCTTTAAGAGGTGTCACTCACTCATCCCTCTACTCTCCCAGCCTTTATATAAATCACCTACCCCTCTCCCTTACTCTCAATCTCATCTTTATTTTCTTTAAATAATTAAAACATGTAATAAATACTATTCTTTATATAAAAGCTACTATTTCAAAACAATTTATGCAGACAACATCAATTTGGCTTCACAACAATACTATAATATTTCACCCTTTGGCTTAATTTATGTCATCAATGAACTACAACCAGTAAAACTGGTATTTGAGTAAATAAGGCTTATTGTAAGGAATAAATTACCACAAGGACTGGGTTGAGAGGTAGCTTTTATTAAGTTTCAGTAGTCCTGTGACTGTTGTCTGCACCCTGCTTTCGGGAAATGACTACAAGCATATAAACATGAAGAATATATAAGCCAAATCCTCAAGCATTTCTAAAGTGTATAGTATAAATAACACATAATATATTACTATGTTATAGCGTTAGAAACCATGCATGTTTATCATGCCCATGCATCTGTGCGTTATTTTGTTTATTATTTTCCAACTCTTCATTGTTAATTAGTTTCATTTGTTATATCTTAAACTGAAAAGTACAATTGAAAATGGGCATTTTTTATGGATGATATAAGAAGGGTTAGTGGTTTTGGTGGGATGCAATCTTATGTGAATGCTTTGTGGTCGTGGAGGATAATAGTTACATAAAAGATAATTATAAAAAAAAACTATCCCAATGATCGGGTGCAAAAAAAGTGTCTCGTGTTTTTAAACACAATTCCATTGTTCCAAAAGAAGAATGAACCTGGTCAGAAAGAAAGGCAGCATATGCTCGATCTCCTTTGGTATATGTTGTTGCAGCCTGCAAAATTATGTCAGCCTTTCATGATCTTAACTGATATTCGAACTCTACAACAAACTAGCTTAAAGATCTGAAAGTTAAAATAATCCCGGAAAAGGACAAATATGAAATTATACTTACTTTCTGATAATAAGATTTCACTGAATCCCATTCTTGCTTAGCATCTTCCCTAAACACGTGATATTCATCTCCTTTAGCTACAAAACAGAAAAAAGAAAGAAGTAAATGATCTGTCAAGGTTCAATACCATACCATCAAGGAAATCGTCAAATTCAAGCATACAAAAAGAAAGATGATCCAAACTGTTATGAAGATTGAAGTACATGAACTGTTATGATTGGATGGCTTCAAAAATTCATAAAGAAGAGTTAAAATTTATAAATCATTGAAGAGAATTGAAAACTCGGAGCTTAATGTGAGACAGAATTGTTCAACCAGCTCATCTTTTGTGTTCAGCCCATATCTTCTTTAAGCAGAGCTCACACATGACATATCAAGAGGGAATCTAATTTGACTTAAGCAAGCACCCAATCACTTTTAACATTATTTGATTTTTAAGGACATTATAAGTTAGATTTTCTAGTGCTGTAGACTGTCCATTAATGCTTTTTTTTTTATTTAGTTTCTCTTTCACTTTTTGAGAAAATTGCCATCCTTTATCTTGTTTCATCAGTCCTTAACAAATTCTTTTTTCTTATGGGGGAAAAGATAAATGATTTGAAGGATGTAAAGTACAAATAATTGCAACAATAGCAATTGAAGATTGATTCCTCTTAAAGAATAAAAATGATTTGTTTGCATGTCAGCAGCAATTCTACAAATCAATGTACTGCAATAGAACACCATTGCCTCTCCCTCTAACCCCAAGAAAAAGAGCAAACAGGAAAACATAACAGTGTTGATTGTTTACGTTCAAATACTTTATGCCCCAAGGAATATGGTGACTATAACTTGAAATAGCAATTCATCCTCTAGAAGATGTTACTATAAACCCTCCTATAGCCATAAATACATATGTACCCTTGTATTTTACTCCTGAAAGGCAATTTTAGACTTTGGATTGTTATGGTGTGTATTGTTATTAATTCTTCTTATCTATTCTCCTACCAAAGATAGATTTTTTTTCTTGACCTTACATCCAAAACTCCCTCGAAAGATTACTGTTTCATTTGGAGTGTGGTACTCAACAGATCGATAAATATATCTTGTTGCAGACTCCAATCCCACAAAAAGCACTTAATTCGTATATGAGAATTATTTACACAAATTCTGTAATCAATGCCATTTGCTTTTGCATTTCCCTACTGTATTTCTGGAATATTTAGAAAATACAAAGTTTATCTTCAGAATTTAAAGAAACGGTCATAGATTTTCTTTGGGGGTAGTAGGAATGTTCTTCCATTTGATAAGATAGAAACCGGAGTTGCCCCAAAAAATTTATCATGTTTATACTCGAAAATATAGAGGAAATATATATATATATATATATATATATATATATATATATATATATATATATATATATATATAGAGAGAGATGTATATATATATATATTTAGAGAGAGAGAGAGAGGCAATCGTGCAGTAATATTAAATAACTTGTGAAACTGGCTATGCAAAGCTTTAACAATTATGTATATTTATTTTGTTACCAGAAATTTCCCTACGATCTTGCAACTTCCTTTTATAAATATAGTCATTAATGTTGAAGAGAACAAACAACTTTGAAGTTGTTGAATAGTACCTTCTATTTTAAGAAATAGATCCCATAATTTTAGGGATTATGTATCTGTAATTTATTAGCTTGATTTGATTAAATTTAGTTTGACTTGTAGTTTCCTTGTTTCCCTTTTTAGTGATTTTAAATCCTATGTGTAATGAATAGGGCCGGTGCCATTTCCTTAAACCATTCAGAACTCTCTTGTAACAGAAGTTAATACTATCCATCTTTGTTTTATATGCCCATTAAATAAGATGGAAGGTTCAGCGGGCAAGAAATAGTCTATATATAGAATCCATATTAGTGCTAACTAAAACTGTTACAATCAATAACAGAAACAAAAAATATAGAACTAATTACAAGCAGGGTCTAAAAAATTTACATCTTTTCCCGGACAAGAGTAAATATCACAGAAATCACCATTCAGGCCATAACAGAGCTAAAGCAAGTGCAACTGACACAAGGTAAAGTCATGATCATTATACAAAAACAAATGACAAGTACACACACACACACACACACAAAAGATATTCTGTCTTTTATAAATATATTCTGTCTCACAAAAGATAATCCAAACTTATTATAATTTTTTTCCTTTTTTATGAATAGACAAGAAAGAGCTTTCAAATTATATTAGGTTTTGCTTGTACTAGTTTAACTACACTAATTAAATATAGTATAAAACACAATTCATGCCTTGTCAACAATGCCACATGTCAAATTTCTGAGAGTCAATCTCCCTACTAAAATTCAATCCTTGTTATTCTGTCAAATTCCTGTGTCTCATCCTAATTATCATATCCAACCTTAATTTTTTGGTTATTGTCAAACCATCATTATGGGGAAACCCAAATACTCCAATTTATATATTTTCCAATGTAATCATCTTCTTTTACCAAAGATAGGTATTACTCCCATTATATTATCCAAACTTTTTATCATATTAATTTGATAAGTTTCTTTGTATTGTGTTATTTGATAATAAAGTTCATGTTGAACCAATAACATACAAGAAATACACTAGTTAGCATAAAAAAGTACTATGTTAGTGATCACAACACATCTCATTATCAGTAAAATGTATTATTTCTCTATTTTCTTACTTTTCAATCCTTTTGCTATAATTTCAACACAGTATCAAAGCAACACCAACCTTAGTGACCTAAAGCAGCCTCAATTCCATTGCTGAGTTTTCCAAAATATAAAAAGAAATTGTTTCTCTTTTTCCTGTCTTTGTCCTATGATTCTCTCCTTATAGTTGTGCACCAATTCCAGCCACTAGAATCTTAGTTTTTCCTTGTATCCATGGCTCTCACACACCTTTCCAGTCAACAATAGTTGTAGTGATCACTTATCAGGCATGTTTTACCTTACTATGGTGGCTTCTGAATCTAGTTCTCCAACTTCTTGGTCTCCAATAGATGAATTGACCCCACCACTAGACTCAGAGGGCGAGATCCATAAGGACCCAAAATATTGCCCAAAAAAAACTCTTTAAAATATAAAAACCCAAAGTTAAGGGGTATATTTACATTTTTGCCTTAGTATAATTCACCTTTCATATTTGTATTGTCAGTGAAAGAAATAGTCTTTGTTCAAAATAAGGAGAAATTGAAATGAAATGAAAAATTGAACAAAAAAAGGAAAAGGTCATAACATTGAAATAAAGACAATTTGCAGGTCCACTATATCTTTACCTGAACAAAGTCTGAGTTTCACTTCTACCAAAAGAGCTGGATGGTCACAAAAAGGCAAGAACCTAAGCCAGAGATGAGAGAATCATAATAAGCATTGCTTATTTTATATCAAGGTTATTGCATTCAACCACAAAAAACTACATGAAACAAACCTCTGAGTCTAATAAGTATGTAGTTGTGCAAACTTGGAGGTGAGAGATTATCTACAGTTAGACTGTTAACTCCATCAAATGGATGAGAACCTTGACTGGCATGCAAATCTTGTTGCAATTTCTGAAACATTAAGGCATTCTAAGTATAGTGGCAATAAAATCAATGAAGAAATCAGATCTAACATATCTCTCATTTATGTTTACTGATATATATATATATATATATATATATATATATATATATATATATATATATATCAGATCGGAAAATCCAGAAACACAAATTTATTCTTAGATCCGAAGATTTGAATACCAACGAAATTCATTAAATTAGGAAAAAAAATGTTTCGAAAACAAAAAAAACACATAAATGTACCATGAAAATGAGAAATAGAAGAGAGAATGGTGCGGAAAGATTATAGAGGAAAATGAAACGTAGCTCAGATTTTATCATGAAATGCATCTCAGATAACATGTCATACAAAAAAATATGTATTACTGTGAGCAATAAGGAAAGAGAGACCAAACCTAAATTTTCAACGAACCTCGACTCAGATTAGAAGAATGGAGTGATAAGTGACGAAATGTATTTGGGGATTTAGACATCTAGGGAAATCGATGGCAGTGAGTGAGAAACTTCTAGGGTTTTAGACATCTCTGGGCATTTAATCTACACTGAGGTTTTTTTTACGTGGGATCTAAATTTATCACCTTGTTTTATATACTAAAAAAAATTATCATCTTGTTTTATCTTTATAATTAAAAAATATAAAAATATAACCTAATATTTATAATTAATTTTAAAAATTAAAAGGTATAATCTTTAAAAAATTTAAATTTTAAAGTTAGCAAACGACGTCAATCAACGGGAATATTGTTCAAGTTTTAAAAAAGTTTGTTAAGCATTCTAACTACTGATGGTCAGCATTTTAAATGGGTCTCTGCACCCTAACAAATTTGCAACATACTTTACCCATTACTAAATTGCCGTGGTGAAATGCAGCTTTTCCTGAGTGCACCTTATAACTTATTTGGCACATATTTTTTTAAGCTAAAAACTAGTTTAAAGTTAAAGTTAAAAAAAAAAAAAAGAGCATAAAAAATGAAGTTAAAAGGTGTTTGATGATTGTATAAAGTTGCTCTTGGGATTTTCAAAGGAGGGAGAAGATACAATTTGTTATTAGGGTAAATTATTAAGTTAAATAATAAAATTTATAAATAAAAATTTAGAATAAAGGTATAAATGAAAAATAAATATGAAATTTCTTAAAAGTTAACATACATCTTTAAAAAAGCTTATCGTGAGAGCTTTTAGCTTTTAACTTTAATTTTTTTCTTTACTATAAAAAAATTATTTTTATGATAAAAGCTTTTGTAAAATTATGTTTCGTTAAGCTTCTCCTAATAAGGAGAACATTATTTAAAAATAAGAGCTCTTAAACAAGCACTAAGTGCTAAGTAAAGGTAAGAATCAAAACAATTAGTTAGTGTGAAAGTCTTAAATAAATTCTTACTTAAATCTCCTATATCTTTTTATTTTTTTCCACTCTCACAATTTATTTTTCACCCTTTTAATTTTTTTCTCCTGCTAAAATCTCACATATTTATAGGTATTCTTCCTCTGGACAAGGACAAATTGACACTACCACTATCTTTGCACCCTTTTTCTTTTTTATTACTTTCACAACTAATGCTGCTTTGATATTTTTCAATAATACTGGTTTTTTCAATAATACTTTCACAACTAACTAACTATACTGTCACCGCCATTTGGTATTTTTCAACAATATTGTTTTATCTTGAATTTTTTTTCTTTCACGATTTTTTTTTATAACTCATCACCTTGTCACAATCATTTAAAGTTTTTCTATAATATTCTATTAAAACAGTTACCTGATTAAAAGGAGACAATAAATATGTGATGATATTATTAACTTGCATGATTCCTATTCACCACAAAATTTATTTATTCATATTTGTTTATGGATGTTATATCACATGCCTTTGATTTTCTGTTGAATAAGGAAAAAATTTTAAAACTAGTTGTCCTCAATTTGTATTGCGCGAATTGTTTAGATCAATTATTAATTTTATCACTTTTTATTCAATAGATAATATACTCAATACATACTTATATTGATTTATTTTTTCTTTAAGAAAGCTTTATAATCAAAATATTTTAAAAAGATTACTTAGTACAAGGCAATGTTATTAAAACTGGCTCGGTCATTGACCCGGTCGAGGTACTGGATCACTGGTTCAATCAGTGAGTTACTGGTTCAACCGCATGACCCGGTAATTATATGCAATTTTATAATTTATATTAAAAAATTATAAACACACTCAAATATCTAAGCAAAAATGACAAAAAAATTCAAATATCTTAATATAAAAAAGAATAAATCACATATTATTATACAATAAAGGATAAAAAAAAAATATAATGATCATGATACGGGGCTTTAGGTTCAGAAAAAGACATCTCTAACTATAAATCAAATCGAAAATTTCTGCATAGTGCATAATTAAGATAATATTAGTGTTGTAGGTACATAGCTTATGTAAGTTAATAAGAAAAAAATATATTTAAATATGTCCATTATGATTTTTTTTTTTGAAACAAAATTTGGAAAAAAATTTGGGTCTGGGCCGGGTCACCGGTTTTCATGAAAACCGGCTGGGTCGCACCGGTTCTGATGCATAGCCGGTCTGTTGCTTGAACCAGACCGGTTATATGACCGGTTTACCGGTTCACGGGTCGACCCGGCCGGGTCAGTTCGGTTTTAATAACACTAGTATAAGGTGCTAAACATACTTTTTATAAAGTATAAACTTATATTTAAAACATGATAATTATATGATTTGATTCAATTTTATTTATTTGTTAACAATGTTTCGATATACGTTTTTAAATTTTATATACATAATTTTCAATATATATTTATTTTTCTATATTTAAGATGAATATATTAGCAAAATATTTTTAAAATTATTAAAAATTAATTGTCTTTGTTAGCTGCTACCTTAAAATTTAGAAAGATAACCGTAAATGCATCACCTTTATTTTCAAAAAAAATTAGCGAAATAAAAATATCTCTTAAGATGTTCTTGACAATTCTCCTGAATCATTTATAAATGAAAAGATGAAAAACAAATCATGAATAAAATATGCTATTAAAATTTTTTATATTATTACTTATGAAAAAAAAACTATCTAATTTCCCTTTAAAATTTTAAAATCATGAAATGCATCATCTTTATTATAAAAAAAAAAATTAGCGAAAGAAAAATATCTCTTAATTAGACGTTCTTTGCTAATTCATTTATAAATGAAAAGACGAAATTTAAAAAGAATCATGAATAAAATATGCTATGAAATATTTTTATATTATATATTATATATTATTATAAAAAATTATTTTAATACTCCTTTAAAATTTTAAATGCATCATCTTTATTTAAAAAAAAATTAGCGAAAGAAAAATATCTCTTAAGACGTTGTTGCCAATTCTCTAATGTCTTGCTAATTCATTTATAAATGAAACGATGAAAAGTTAGAAAAAAAGGTTTAAACAAAAAATTAAAAGTTGAATTTTCATTTATAATAGAAAATTAAAAGTTGAATTAAAAGTTAGAAAAAAAAAATTAGAAAATTTCCAAAAGATACAAAAGTTCTTCTAATAGAACTATTACGGTTTTGTGATTATGTAATTTTTTAATAGTTTTTGAATTTTCATTCTTTAATATATATGTTAATTTTCATCTTTTCATTCACATCATTCTCTGACTTTTTATTTTTCTCTTTTATATCTTTGTTGACATTTTATAGACTTATAATGAATCATCCAATATTTTGTTTTAATACAATTATGTCGTGTTAAAGATGTCAGCCTTTTATATATAGATATTAATGGTTACAATTATAACGAAGTAAATTGTAAAATGAGGAAGTGAAAACTATCACTTTAATTACTAACCATTTGTCTGTGAATAAACGATCAAAATCCTCCGCATAACATCATATTAAAACAAGGCATGAGACTATGAGAGAATTGATTCCAATTTCTTCAGAGGCGAGAAGAGTGAATTATCAACCTAGCTTGTTGCAATTTCGGGTTGGACTTATTCACTGAATTTAATTAAAGAGTCCGCACCCAAGAAGTTAGAAGAAAAAAAAAAGCAAAGCCCAAGATCTTCGGGCCATAAAAGGGTTGGATAAGCACTTACTAACAGATCCATCCAAACAAAGCGTACGAAAATAAATTTTCATTTTCATTTTATTTTTATTTTACATTTCGTTTAAAGTGGTCTGTACTAAAAAACAACAAAAAAGTGATAAGGTAACGTGTCACACCAATCAAATGGAAAGAGTGAGAATTTTTTTTTCTCCTCTTTACTAAATATAAGCCGAAACAAATAGATGAAAGAATTATTTCTCCAAATGTTAAGTTTAATTAAACTTTACTCAGTGGATTAGTTAAGTAACGGGCAATCACAAATGCATTCTACCCGTAGTTGTATTGTGAATTATCTTAATTTTTACGTAAATGAATTATCTTACTTTAATCAAATTGAAAAGGTAAATTAAGTGTATATATGGTAAACACTTTTTTATGCAAAAATATTTAAAAATAATTTAAATGTTTATTAATAAAGTGCTTATAAGTTGATTTAAACATCATCTCACTGAAATAAAAATATACTGAGTTTAATTAGATTAAAAAACGATATTAGCCGAATATTAATTTTTGAGTATTATGGTACAAAATTATATTAAAAAAATCAGATATCCCTAGTATTTATTGTAGTTTAATCAAATTTGGTGGTATAAAAAAACGAGAAATGAAAAATCGAAAAACTTATCCTATCCGTTATTTTTGGGGGGGCGATTGTGCTTTATGGCACAGGGAAGACCATAGAGAGAAAAAGAGAGAGAGAGAGATATGGCTGCTACTTCTCTCATTGCTGTGTCGCGGTTCCCATCTTTGGCTTCTCCTTTCAAGGTATTTTGTTATTCCGTCAATAAGTCACAACCTTCATTTCAATCTCTACATGCTTCTTCCATCATTCTCATCAATTTCACCGTTGCAGGGAACTCTGAAAACTTTGGGTGCAAAACCATGTCTGAGGATTCAGCGAGCAAGACCCCTTGTTTTTGTTGTCAATAAGGTTGCTTTTGTCCCTGTGAGTGCACCTTCCACTTCAAGTCGATTTCGCCTAGACAATTTGGGGCCTCAACCAGGTTCAAGGAAGAAGGGTAAGAGAAAGGGTAGAGGTATATCAGCAGGGCAAGGAGCAAGTTGTGGTTTTGGCATGAAGGGTCAGAAATCTCGATCTGGACCTGGCGTTAGAAAGGGTTTCGAAGGTGGCCAAACCCCACTCTATCGACGAATCCCCAAACTTAAAGGAATTGCAGGAGGTAATTATTCACAACACTCTCACTGGGAATTCATATGAAAATCCAATTTTGAAATGAAAATTATAAAATAGCAATTGATGTTGTTCAAACTTGTGTTCGTGTATACTTTTGGGTGTTTATAAAATTTTTTAGTATATACTTCGTACCATGTTATGCCTTAATGTTTTGTCACCTTGTATGTCTCACGGTCATGCTTCGTTGGGAGTTTATTCAGCTGTCTTGATGGTTGATTCAAATTTGTTTGCTATAGATTAGATTAGGATCCTATTTTAAGATAGAGCTCAAGAAAAAATGCTACTTGTGGCATTATCATTAGAGCAGTGGCGAAGCCAGGATTGGAGGGGGGGGGCTAAAATTAATTTTTTGTCTTGCATAATATCAATGTTTTCTCTATCTATTGACCTCGTACCTTCATCATTTTGGTAATTTCTTGCCAAAATATTAACATTTAACAATATTTCAAAGACTGAAAATGTATTATTGGTCGGGTCCAACAGACATAAAAAGTAGTTTAAAGCAATTATTAAAAAAAAAAAGGAGAGTGCCTTCATTCAATGTTAACATTAACTAAAACAATGCTTTTAACTACAATTTTTTTTTTTAAAGAAATAAAAGACTGCAACCAAGTTGCTCCAAAAAGTGAATATTTTGAGTTAGAGCAAAACTCATTTTCACTATATGAAACCACTGCAGAAAGAGAAACACAACCATGCAAATGAAAAGAGAGCAAAGCAAAAAGGCCAAAGCTTTCATTAACCAAAACACAGCAAATGAAAATAAAAAAGAAAATGCAGAAAAGGGTACACATAACACGCACACATTAGGTGAAGTGGAGGTAGATTTCACTTGGATCTCAAATCAGAACTTCCAGAAGAAGCACATTTAACAGTAATAACAGTACCACGTTTAGTCTTCAACTACATCAATTTTTTTATTTTTTATTTTTTTTTGGGTGGGGCACCCACCCTAGCCTTCCCCTGGCTCCACCCCTGCATTAGAGGGAAAAACATATACTATTAAGTGCAAGGAGATTTTGTCATTTCCTACCATGCAATTCTTCTGACGTTTTGTGGAAGTTAGATGAGGGTTGCAACACCTGGATGCAGTAAACTGTGACTGTATTATGGCTTAGTTGACTTTTTCTTGTATATATTATTTGTCGGGCTCTTATCCTGGCATAATAATTGAGCGCTAGAGAAATCTCTGTATACCTCCTAGTTAGAACTTAATGCTAGAGTTTTCAACTGGAGATTTCCTTGTAGCTTCTGTGGGATAGACCGAAAGAGTGATTTTCTTGACTTCCTGTGGATCTCAGCTCATAGACTTTTCGGGTAGAGCTCCTTTTTTTCCCCAGTAAAAGGAGAGAGCTCTTTAATGAGATTTTCTTTTGCTCATATTTTGTACTCACTCCTTGAGGATATTTTCATGACCCTTGTCTTGTTACTTTTTTTCTTTTCTTTTTCTTTTATAAAAACAAATGTGCAACATGTAACAAGGAAAGTTATTTGGGTCTTGGAGATGCTCCACATGGAATTTTTCTTTCTTCTTGGTGGAAATAGAATCGAAGAAGTCAAGAGAAGTATTATATACTGCTTTACCATGCAGTTTGATTACATATACTTGCTACATTATATTTGGAAAGTCCTGTAGTTGTCCCCTATAGAGACAGGGTACATCTATTGTAGGTCTGGACAGGGTATTGAATATATCTCTGATATGTTGATTTTTGAAGAAGCATTTGGAGGAAATAAGAGTTTAAGCAATTTGATTGACGTCCTGAAATGGTGATTCTTATGTGAAGGGAATAATTGCTTTTTGGATGCGATCATGCTCCAGCAACTAAATTTCCCTTCCTCTGATCTTAGGCATTTTGACCGTATTAATTTGTTTACTCAAAAAAAGTTACCAGTTTAATGTAATTTTAAAATTATTTTCCTATGTAATGGCATTAAGTCCTGCACAAGGACATACGGAACTGATCCCGTCCATGAAGCATGCGGGAGTGAGTGTATTAAATAAGTCCCGTATATACTGAATGGGGGACTCACTGCGTGAAAGTGGCTGCTGCTTATGTAAACCAACTCAAATTGACAGAAATGCCCCTGACAGACTTCTCGGAAGCAGGGAAGCAATTGCAATCTGTTCTGCAGAATAAAGCTATTCAGCTAATAATTCTCTGTTCCTTGGCTGTCATCTGATGAGGGTTCATTAAGTTTCTATCCTCTCTTTCCTTGAACTCTCTTATGTATCTATATAAAGAGTTCAATATGAATATTCGCCATCCTCACCAAAGAAACTCACTTTCCATATTCATTTTTTCTTTGAAATTAAGAGATGGCTGGGATTGGGAAAGGAATTGATTTTGAGGATTTCCTGCCATTAGTTGCCAATAAACTGGGTGGTGAAGGTCTTATAAAGGAGCTGGTAATGGGTTTGAGTTGCTGATGGACAAGGACAAGACAAGGGAGTGATCACATTGGACTGCTCGAAGAAAAACTTTGCACCATGAACTCAACATTTGAAGGGACATCTCATTCTTTTTTCAGATGTTTCTAATATAAGTCATCATTTTGCCATTGTTAACCTTTCTCTTGTTCTTGAATAGACAAGAATACAAGAATACAATTATACATTATAATTGTTATTTTTTTTATTAACAGATCAGTACCCGCAGCAACTGAGTAGAATTCAATTTGTCTAGGTAGCATGTTTTTGTTAACTCATAGTGTCACCACGAAGCCAATAAAGCAAAGCTCATCTTTTGTAAGGATTTGCATTCCTGAAAAACCAAACCTTTATCCATGAAGATGAGCTTATCTAGCATGACCTATTTTAAATTGCTTCCTAGAAGTTTGTTATCAATTTGAATTGGTTTATTGAAGCATTTCACTTTTACACAGTGAGTCTTGCATTCACTGAATGCGGGACTTATTCAATCCACTCACTCCCATATGCTTCATGTACGGGATTAGTGCTGCATCTCTGTGTGGGACTTAACGTATTACATGGGAAAATAGTTTTTAAATTACATTAAACTGGTAACTTTATTGAGAAAACAAATTAGGATGGTCAAAATGCCTCTGATCTTATGATGTTGCACACCTTTACTAATTGTGTCCTCCTGTCATCTCTGATATTATTTTATACTTCTTTCTCCTCCTATTTCCTTCCATAATTTTGTTTCAAAAGCAATTATTTCATGAAATGTTTCCCTTTTATTCTTCTGTATATGATCTCTCTTAACCTGTTTAATGTTCATCTGTGTGCATGTATCTCTTTTGGAACCATTTTTGATGTCCCTTCTTTTTTTTTTAAATAATAAAAAAAAAACAATGATAATAATAAGGTATGCAGAAGGGATTGCCGAAGTATGTCCATGTAAATCTGAGGGACATAGATGCTAAATTTCAGGAAGGGGAAGAGGTGTCTCTAGAGACACTGAAGGAGAAGCGTGTGATTAACCCATCAGGAAGAGAAAGGAGACTTCCTTTGAAGGTACAGATTACTTCTTGGTTTAATGACAGATAGATTTTTTTCCAGTCTTACACTTGCTTCTCCAAGATCATTTTCATGATGTGTAGAGGTAATATGATGTTTGACTTTTATTAGAGGTTCCTCATAATGACACACAGATTACTTAGGAATGCTAGATTCTCCTAGCACCAACTACCAAAAAAGACTATTCTTTAGAGGTCCCTCTTTTGTTCTTAATAAAGTTACGTCCTGCAAATTCTTAGATGCTCTTAGATCATAGTTTTTTGTGTTTAAGTTTATCTGTGCATTTGTTGCTGTGTATATCTAAGGTCAAACATATAATATTATGGTCGGTGTCTCACTGATATGAAACTGTAAATTTGGAATATCCTTCTCCATTTTGTTGGGAACACCACAAATTATGTGATATTTTCCTTTCTTTATGTCATGCTTTCAGTAACAAATTTATTTTCTTACCGGAGCATCTAAGGGTCTTCAAAACATATTGCCTTATGGTGATTTTTCAAGCAATAATTACTTTGCAACCTTCGGTTGCTTGGGGGGGGATTGCCTACAATAAAAGGTGATGCCTTTTTCAATATCTTCATGCTGGAGGCCAGGCCAAATACTAGAATCGCTATTTTGTTACAAATTGTCTATGCGGGAGAAGTAATGACATTCCTGTCATAGAGCAGTGGAATTATTAAATGATCATTTTCAACAAAAAAAAACATCAGTATTTGGGTAAATAAACTGCACTCTGTTCATTCACATTGACAGTAATATTTAGTAGAATCGCTAGTAATTAATTTCTGAAAGGACATTTGCTAATATTTAGTAGTTGAAACTTTAGCATGTTCTCTGGCCAATGACTCTGCTACATGGAGGAGCACCATGATTTGTTGGTTAAATTTTATGGTAATCATGTCTTTGTAAATGCTTTTCTGGTTTCCCAAGAAACACAGGAAAATCTTATGCAACTTTAAACTTGTTAGTATGTTTCAGCAAGCATTTTGCTTCAACTTAACCATGCTGTGCATCGAACATCTCAAGGTCCACAATTTTGGTCTTGATGGATCAAGAATATATTTTCAAAAACCAAGGATGGAAATAATAGTTTGTTGTACTTTGGTTTCAGATTTTGGGTGACGGAGAACTAAGCAAGAAGTTGACGATAAAAGCCCGTGCCTTTTCCACATCAGCAAAGGAGAAACTTGAGAATGTTGGTTGTTCTCTCACTGTGCTTCCTGGCCGGAAGAAATGGGTTAAGCCATCAGTTGCCAAAAACCTTGCACGTGCCGAAGAATACTTTGCCAAGAAGCGAGCTGCAGCTGCTGCTGCTGCTGCTTCTGAACCATCCACGGTTTGAAATTGAACAACTTGTGTGTCATCACATTTAGAAATCTTCAATAGAGGTGCAAAGTGATTTTTTCGTTAGGAACCACCTCACATGTATCTCTGGTTCATTCTGTTATTTTGTAACTTAAGGAATTGATTCTTTGTTCTTTTTGCATTGAATGTGTTCTAGTGCCGGTTTCAAACAAAAGTTAATGTTTTATACCTCATTACCTTTTGTTCCATCACCAAATTTTTTTGAAAAAATAAATAAATAAATAAAATTTTAAATTTTGGTTTTCCAGTTTTTGCAGGAAACGTGTTGTAATAACGTGTATAGTTACTATAATAAGGTGACGCCTTTTGTCTTCATCAAAAATTGTTTTAAGATATATTTTTTTGTTTCTTGTTCAAGGTGGATACCGAAAGTTCTTCCTTCTGCGCATATTTCCCTATCCGGTGATGAAAATTCCGTTCTAATCGTAGTACCCATGCGTTAGGGGAAAACCAAATCACTTACTATGTCGTAATACGAGTTTGACAATTGCAACGCGACAGTTGTATTTTCCTTCCAAAACTAGGAGGACATCTTTGGCTTCCTTTTCTCTCCTACTTCCTTTTTCCACTTTCCTTTTTCTTTTTCTTCTGTCTTCTGTCTTCGAATAAAAATCTAGCAAGTTGAAAAGCGTAGTGCTGAACAACTAATTTGTTCTACGAAAACATTTTTCCCTTTTTTCATTTTGTTGTCGTTTTACAGCTTTTGGTTGACCTTTGATTATAATCCATATCATGCAATTTTCTTGAAGTCTTCACCTAGGAATTCTTCATATTTGAAATTTGTTTGAAATGGTCAACGAAACATATCGATTCGAATGTCAAATCATCGTTTGCCCACCACATGCCTTAGTATTGGATGCTAAGCATCTGCAAATAAACTATTATTATTGCTGCTAAGACACGCACTAGATTTTTATAACAAACTTGCATACGTCAACAGAATGATTTTGTAAAGCCCATGGGAGACCACTTTTTTGGTGCATGAGATACATCATATATTTGTCCAAAAAAAGTAAAATTTTGAAATTTGATGGAAAATGCTTAAAAAGATATGGATTAAATGGGGAAAAATAATTTGGTAAAAAAAATATACCCACTTGCATACATCTGATATACAGAAAAAATTTCCCCCGAGAGCATGAGGTGATTGTAACGCATCCCCATCAGTTAGTGTTGATTTTGGATCTATTCCTCTTAAAGACACTGCTAAAAGCAAAGGCAAGAAGGTGGTTGGATCAACCCCAACTTGGTATTGGGACCAAAGCGCGTCAAATCCTTTCAACCAAAATTGTCCTTTGTACCAAATCGTAAGCCTAACTTCAACACCTCAGTTGCTTCATTAGATCTAGTAAAGAAGATTATGATTCTTGATGACAGAATGTAAACCACATCAAGAAGAATTTTTTGAAATTTTTTTAATAAAAGAATCAAATGCAATGAACTTTACCGATAATTTAGGTTTGAAAAGGGACAATAATTTACAAAATCCGGACACGATTAATTTAAATTATGATTGCACTTCTTTATTCAGAGATGGAAATATTGTTTGTGTCCCACTACTTTGGAAGCATAGATGCAAGAAAAGATACCTGTCTCTCGGTTTGTCAATAATTCTATCATTTTTTTGTCAACATGTCTCTTCTTTTTTATTGTCTTTTTAAATTTATATAAGATTCTTAATCTTTATTAACGTGTAATCCGCACAAAAAACAAGACATTAGGGATTGGTGCATTGAGTTGGATTGGTGAAAATTCCTTCCCCTAACCGAAACAAATATACCAAGGGTTCAGTTTGTGTCGTTTAAAAGAATATAAATTTATATTTTTTCACCTCTTATAGTTATGTATTTCGCAAAGTATATAATTATAATATCAAAGTTGTATTTTTTTCTCTTTTCATTTCAGCTGACGAGTTTATGAAGAATTTTTTTATACTTATGTATTCTCCAGAATACATAGTTAAAAGAAGTGAAAGAACATAAACTTATATCATTTAAAAGGACAAATAAATTGGATACCAAAAAAAAAAAAAAGGACATAATTTTTTCATACATCAAATTATAAATTCCTTTTCTTAGAGGTATTTACATAATAAACACAGTATACATATAATAATACATTCTTTCATAGGAAATTGCGAATATACCATATAAACAACTGTGTACTGGAATTGATTCTTTAAAAAAAATATGAATTTTACAGACATCAAAAATATTATATTCGCGTAATAATATGGTTTTCTTAAAAACAAATGTTATATGATTATATCTTTTACCAAAAACAAAATATATCTACTTCAATAAAGAAAAAAAGTATAACTTGTACATTGGAATGACTTTTTTAACCCTGAAGTATGACTTAATTAGAAAATTGATTTTTATGCGGATGGAATTCCTTCTTCTTCTTCTTTTGGTAATCTTATGTGGATGGACTTTACTTACAATAGAGAGATTCAAGTCTTACTAGAAATATCTTACGGTAACCTATGAAGCACTGATACTTCAAAAATTCTGACATGTCGAGGTCGACACTTTTCGACATTCCTCGACACTCCAACACGCGTTATAGAAATTCAAAAAAAAGTTCAAAGGTTGCGTTGCGTTGAATTTTTAATTCCAACTATTAGATTCGTTGGATTACGATTACCATTTTATTGAGTTTAATATAAATATTTGGGATATCTTATGTTTCTTTGCAAAATTGATGGATATTATAAGTTTAATTTCATTTTTTTGTTAAATTATTGAATATTAAATATAATATACACTACATAAATTAAAAATATTATTTAATATCAAAACGTGTCCTAACGTATCGAAATCTAATATTTTTTAAAATTAACGTGTCAGAGTGTCGTATCGTGTCGCGTGTTCCGTGTCGATATCTGGTAAGCATGCTCAATTAATAAATAGTCTCACAAATCTTCGCGCCATAATTCAATGATTGGAGGGTGGGTATTAAATTTATTCCTAACGTATAAAATTACAAAATTTGTTAAGAATTTAATAAGGCAAATTTTGTATTCCTTATACTTTTGCCGACTTGATCGGATTAGTTAATTAGTCAATGATTTGTCAAGAAATCTTCAAAAGAATATTATAAAATTCTGCAAATTAATTAAATCTAACACCAAAGAAATACTTGTGCTTTCTTGAAACTTATCCCTGTATATTGTATATTATGTAAGACAGGAAACAAAGAAAATATATATAATATATAATCTACAAAAAATAGATGTAGACATAGTCTACCAAAAAAAAATAGATGTAGACATATAGTAATAGAATCAAATTATATCAATGCAAAAGCAAAAAATTATATTAATTTTAATTATTTATTGATTTACATCTAACAATTTACCTATCTAATAAGTTGAATATGAATAGAATCAACCTCTAAAATTAACAATATAACTTACACGAATATAAAATATTATTGCCCCAAACATCTAACCTATACCCTAAAAGCGACACCATAAATTCTAACCCAATTGCTAAATATTACTTCTTCTTTTCTTTTCTTTTTTGTAATAAGCTAAATATTACTTTATGTGGACAGATTTTATCACAGCATATGAATTCAATAACCAGAAGGGCTGTTTGGATGAGCAAAAATATTTTTTTATGTATTACTTATTTTAAAATGACTTTTAAAAAAAAAGTTAAATGTTTCTCAAAATGTGTTATATTGCGTTGGGTATTTTTTATTTTTTTTTGAAATTTTGGTTTATTTTGGACTATTTTATTCTTTATCATTGCAATTTTTTTCCCATCCAAAAAATTCAAAATAGCATGGCTAAGAAATAATAAATCCTTCCATTAATGGAGAAAGTTACCATACCAGTAACAATTTTTAAAAGGGGAGGATCAAACTTATCACAATGTATATATAAGTCTTACACTTATTATTAGTTGTTCATTTCTTTCATATTTAATGATTTATATGGTTAAAAATTGAAATCATTGACTAATAATAAATGTAATACTTATACCGTTGTAAGCTAATCATTCTCCTTTATAACCAAAATTTATTAATGAATATGTCACTCATAAGCTTCTAATAATATATAAGAAAATTCATTTATGTTTTCAAAAAAAAAAAACTTACAAAAATATATAAGTTTCTATAAATTTAAAGTTGTTAATTTTTATTGGGGAATTATTCCTTTACAAAAAAAATTTACAAATTTTTGTAAATTACACTATTGTTATGGACCTGACAAAAGTTCATATTATAGAAGGACCAATAAAGGACAACACAAAAGGAAGGAAATCTCCAATTAATGACAATCATATCCAGACAGCTAAGCAGTTGGACTTGAGCCCCCAATATTACTAAGAGGCCCAAAAGTACACTCCTTCATAAAACCCATCTATAAATAAGGGATTAAACCAATAAGGTACAGACTCTCTAAACCCTCTCTCTTAGCTTATCACTGTGCACACAGTCCACGTCTTGACTATGTCGATTATTATTGTGCACAGTGATCAGCCTACCATCAAAGGTATCTCATCTATAGATACCTGAGAGAGGACATATAGATCCTATATAAAATATATCAGCCACTGGCTAGACATCTCTTTCTTTTAGACATAACAACTATGTACTCCAAGAAGTACATAGTATAATCTAATGTACTTTCGGGAATACTTAATGTAGTTTGTAAGAATTTGTAAACAAAAAGTTTGTAAATATAACCCTTCTCATTTTTATTTATTCTTATAAATTAAAGATAATCTCCTCCACTTCCCTCAATACTCTTCTATTATTATTTTTTCTTTTTCTTTCAATTATGGTCTAGGATGGAGCCATATAATATTTTATAAATTTAATTATATAATTATTTCATCATCAATCATATTCAAACTTATGTTTCATATGTTTAAAATATAGAAACTATGAAAATAAATAAACTTATAATCATAGTTATTTCATCCAGTTATATTAAAACTTTTAATAAAGGTGATAACTTTTTCTTCTTCTTCTTCAATTAAACATCTAAACAATGACACGTATAAACATAATTATCATAGTTATTTTACGATTTTTTTTCATCAAAACGATTTTATCAATATTCCAAACGCTTTTACGTTTTTACGATTTTTTTACGTTACGATTTTACTTTTTACGATTTTTTAGTCCCCTTCCGATTTTATTTAAAATCTCGATTTTAACAACCTTGATAATTATAATTAGGATTTGGTTAACAATATGAAAAAATTTCATATGTTAATTAATATCTT